CATCTGTGGTATCAGGGAGAAGGGTCGAGTGCCAAAATTAACGATGCCTGACGTTTTTGCTTCCCAGAATGATTTAAGCAATGTCGGTTGCCTCGGAAATATCAAATCCTGTTCCTTGTCGCAAACAAATCTGCTTCTAGCAGCTGCCTTAGGTGCGATGTTTTTCTCTGATGCACCTGCGACCACCTTTTGCTTCCAAAAGAAGAATGGTTTCAGATAAGTTTCCATTCTCTCTCTGGATGGTTCTGTTAAACCATGGCAGATGTCGGTCCCTGGTTTCTTCAGACAGCATTCTCTGGCCTGTCTTCTCCAAGATCTTTTCGTTCTTCATTCGATGGAACCATAGCATTTTGAGAATATCCCGCAGACAGCACTGCAGAAAATGTCCGACATCTTTTCATGGCGCTTTAAAAGAGGTGATGCTTCAAGGCTGTGTATCAACATTGAGAAGACTACGTTTTCACTTGGGTAATATTTGTTGCTGTCTCGATGGATCGGTCTTGCCACGCTTTAGAAAGTCGCCTAAAGTTCACAGACGCCAGTCCAAAGCACCACTATATTTCCATATAGCAGTTGCCATCTTTTGCCAGTACAGAGCCTAGGTATTGAAGTGTTCAACCATCTGTACGGTCGTTCAACTATATCGAATCTCTGGGTCCTTAGTCGAGTCCGGTGCTCGCAAGATCTTCGTTTTGATTGGATTAACTTTTAGGCCTACCGTCGAGGCCACCTTGCACACTTCTCGAGTTATTGCCAGTAAGCCACTGGTCGTCAATCATTCGAGATCTGTTGCGGATACTGTTAGGTACTTTCGGCTGAGTCATCTGATAGCAACTTCTTCACTGTTGTTGAGGACGAAGAATTGTCCTCCACATCACATGATTCATCACTATGTTGAATAATACTGAAAGTACCTTTCCTTGTCATACTTCGTTGTTGATGCTAAACCAGTCCGACAACTACTCTTCCGCTCTGATGGCGCCTTTAGCACCTCTGGCGTTGTAGAGACACTTGCTTCAGGCCATTCTTGGTCTTCCGTCTTTCGGAAACTTCGGCCAGTTGGTCGAGCACGTAGTAGATGTTTGACCATCCTTTCGTTCATCCATCTGGATGCATTCGTAAGATGCGTCCAGACCATTGCAGCTGTGACTTCTCAAACTAGAGAAGCAGTGGTTGTATACCATGGTTAATCATATATTTGAAGTCCAGACTCGGCGTGAAGAAGCAAAAGCCTAGCGACTCGTCTCAGAGGTGAGCATGAAGATGAAAGGTGACTGGAACACTGTCATCTTCGTCTTCAGACTCAGCTCTGTGTCAGTTAAGATGATTCAGCAAAGTTAGTGCAGAACGTCGCAGGCCACCCAGATTCGCTGCTCGTTCGTGCTTCCATTTTCCATGATCTGTAAGCACCCTTCCGATGTGCGTGAACTTCTTAACTGTTCCATAGCTTCTTTGTATGTTTGCATAAAGCAGCATGAGGGGTAACAAGAAAGCACCAGGCTTTTGTTCATTTTGGCATACGTTCAAACGCATGCCGGTTGCAAATCTTTCCAAAGCTGCTGGAGATCAGTTTCGGTAGGGGCTAACAAAAAGTCGTCTGCAGACAGCAAACTTCTCGTCTCGATATATTTCCTCACTTGATACACCCATAGTCGTAACTGAACCTCACTGTCCATGTTCATCACCGTTGGAGGAGACAGAACGCACTCTTGGCGGAGTCCTGTGATGACGGCGGAAGTCATCGACGTAAGGCCATTTACCTTGACGCAGCCTTGCTCTCAACACGTTATTATGCTGTTGGTTCGCAACAGCTGGCCAGCGATCCCTGCGTCGGTAGGCACGCTTATCGTTTGTTGCATTGAATCCGGTCATAGGCTTTCTCAGAGTTTACAAAACAATTGGACGAGCAAATTGGACGTAAATTGGATGAGCAAAGTCCCGTAATTTCTCGACAACTTGTAAAGATCTGGTCAAAAGTGATTTGGCCAAAAAGAAATGCATACTGCTTCTCTGGGACCTGAAGTCGGCAATTTTGTGACATCTGCTTTCCAGCACCTTTAAATATAGGTTTTCCAAGAGTCTCAGTTAAGTAATGTTCAGATAATTGGAGCTTTCCTCATAATTTTCCTTCTTTAGCATGTGAGTTGCGGCCCTGATTCTCCAGTACACCTGTTTTCACTTCATTCGTTGCAGTTTGGCAGTCACCAGTCAGCAACAACTTTCATTGTTCGCCTCAAGCATTAAGCATCTCAGGGCAGATTTCATCGATTCAAGCAACCTTGCTACTCTTTAACCTTTTTACCCGCTTCTGTGAGTTTATCTACTGAACGTTTAATATCCGTTCCCTAATGTTTCTCAGGCGAATCTCGCTGATCTTAGTCTGCATTAAGAAGTTCCTCAAATTAATCTCTCTATCCATTGCTGAAACAGCTCATACTTCGTGCAATACAGTACACAGTAGTAGTTTCGCTTTCCGTTATTGCCACTGACAAATATGGGAGAAGCAGAAAGAGAGTATTGATTCTGAAAACATTATCTAACTTTTCAAATACTGAGTTAAACACTTTACCATTGTGCTTACTACTGAATCACAGGTACACGAATTAATAGTTTATGTGGAGGACACCACCATTCATGTTGTTCATGATTTATATACTTAGACAAATTATGCAAAGTGTGTGACTGTTACAGCGTGTATTAAACTTTCTGTACCTAGTCGATGAAGTAGCAGCACCATCTAAAACATGCTTGAGTGGTAAGATATATTGCAGCACTTGTTGTGACTGCATCATTTATTTATTCATTCA